GGGGTGGATATAACGATTTTAAAGGTTAACACGCTCATGGAAGAGCATTATTGTTAAGCCCCGGTTAGGTTTCACTGAAAAGCGGTTAAAATCCAATTCAAAGTTAACACTTAACTTAACCACATATTTCATGGATCCACAACTTTTTAACCACACATTCCATCAAATTTTATCAAAATATACTAAAAATCTGATTTTTATCTATACCAAACAGGGGCTAAATGTTTTAGATATGACTGCCTGCATTTTTTTTAACTTTCTGTGTTCATCAATTTCGGTAAAAAATGTAATAAAACACAGCAAACATACACAAAATTCCATGTTAGGCTCATCATTCAATGTAGTATACACATATCAAGAAGCATATACACATAGAACCATGGCCCAAGGTCTTCCATTGGTTTGATGCCAGTATCATACCCGTGTATCATCAGATCCTGATATCAAGAGAGAGCCTGTTGAGTTCCAAGCCATTGAATTTACGCAACCATGATGCCCCTGTGAAACAATGAATAACCCCTTCAGGTTGCAAGCTTTGCATATACATCAATCACTATCAACTAATATGCACATGCATGTGTATAGTGGACATGAGACAATGCCAACTAGCAACAATCACATACCAGCACAAAAACAGATAAAAACAGGTTCAGAACTATATTCACCAATAAAAATTCAGTTATTAACATTTAGAGTTATCTAACTGAAACTCTGCAAAGTTCACAAAACTACAAACTTTGGACCAAAAGTAAATCATGTCTACAAACAGAAAAAAGATGATCTTCGACTTGAGGATTGTGATTTAAAAACAAATAGCGGTTATCTCTAAACTACTACAAAATCAGTATAGTACCTCAAGACAAGAAATTTAGGGCATGTTCTGTTTATTTTTCAATTTTTAGTTTTGAGTTCATTTTTAGTCTTCTATTTTGAGGGTCGGTTTTAAGATTTCTAAAAATGAGTTTGGTTTGTCATCCTAAAAAATTATTTCTCAAAACAAAAAATTTGAAAACATCTTAGGTTCGAAATTTTAAAAAAATATTTTATGATAAGTAATATATGCATTTTAAAGTTAGTGAATCTTTTAGCACTCTTTCTCACTACAAAAGTAAAATTAAAATAAATAATAAAATGAGTTCAAAATATAGGAATAAAATAAAAATTACTCATGTGGACTGAATATACGTTGATCTATGTTTATTTAAATGTTTTTTAAGAATTTTTATGTAAATAATTATTAAGAGCTTGAACTATTTTTTCAAAAAAAAATTCTAGAATTTTTTACTTTTTTAGAATTTCAGATTTTGTTTTTTCAAAAATTTTATTTTTTTTATTTTTTAGAATTTATCAATTCTATTTTTTGAATTAATTTTTCTTGAATCTTTTTAAAATTTATTATTTGTTAGAATTTTAAATTTTTATTTAAATGCTCTTTTTCCATGATTTCAGTGTTTCCAAAATTTTCACTGAAAATACTTAAAAAGTCAAATATGCATTTTGAATTTTATATTATAAGTTGATAATTGTTTTCGAAAATACATTTCCAGAAATGTCATACCAAACACATTTTCAGTATAAAACTGAAAACTGAAATAATTTGAAAACAGCAAATCAAACGCACCATTATATATTGTTCAAGATCCACAAAATTCAGTATGTAAAGAATATCCAGGGCCATGCTGCAAACAACACATCAAATAACGTATATTCTGTAGCTAAAAAGTACAGTATCAATCTCATAATCCATGGTACAGGTGGAAGTCTGGTGGGTTAGGACTAAATAGTATGTAAATAGCTGATGGGTGAGCAGTCACCCACCTACGTCCAAAATTGAAAATTTGGGTAAATAGTTTTAAATTGATGGAGATGGGCGTTGAAAAGTCTCCCACCCATCACCACCCATTTAATGAATGGGTCTAAATGGGATAAGTGATGCATTCCATATGGTAATGTTCACCTATCATGCCTTTTGGTGTCCAGCTACAGATTCTCCAAGAAAATCCTCTCCTTGTCTATCTATGTGCATGCCCACTACACCTATTCACACACACACACACACACACACACACACACACAGATTTTTATATATATGGTGGCAGGCCTTGACTGGTGATGTATTCTATTTGTTGGAGGAAGGTCTGTTCATTGGTGGGGAGTATGTAGCAGCAGCATGATAATGGTGCTAGAAGTGTTATGGATGGCAAGAGCAGGGGAACTCATGGTGGGGGAAGGCAGATGTATTATTAGTGGCTCCAGTGAATGGTAGGAAGGCATGTGGTACTAGAGGATTGTGGGTGGTGGCAGGCGATGGTGATAATTGAGCTGAATTGATTGGAAACTGGATTGACTTGGTAGCAACTTGATTGATTGGTGGGAACTCGGTGCTTATTAAGTATTACCTATTTTATTTAACTGTTTCAGATTATCAGGGCCAAAATTTAAATGAAATGAAATATGTAAATTCATCCGTTTAGATCAGCTATTTTGGTGTATGTAACTAGTTCATTTACACCTGTTAATATTGTAGGCTGCACCCAGGAAAAAAAATTGTGTGCGGAGTTTGGGCAGGTAAATTGGGGTGGCAACTTTTCCCCCACCCTAGGTATATCCACTCATGTAAAAAATGTTGATAAACCATCAACCTAATTATCCCATGTACCCACTTTAATGAACCTGCCCATAATTTGAAAAAACACAATGTATCTATCATGACTTTTAATACTTGTTTATAGTGTAAAGATATCCATTATTTTTTTATGTTTTCAACATGGGTAACCTTGATCTGTTTTTCTATTTTTTCCATTGGTTTCTATATTTTCATTTTTGTTTCTTGTACTTCACTTGAAAACTTTAAGAACAGCTTAAAATAATCATTGACCCCGATGGAATAGGACATAATTCTACAAGAAAATGGACATTGTCTTCTTTTAGAAAAGGACACTGCATTTTTTCAAAAAGGCAGTCCCAAAAGAAAAATCATGCTAGAAAGATAAATTAATATCAATAACCGTATAACTAAGAAGTAAAGATTATCAGGGAAAAGAACATATAGGAAGGTCATTTTATATGCAAGCAATATCACGATAAAAAAAGGTCTACATAATCCTACTTCATAAAGTGCAACATCTGAAAACATATAAAAGAACAGTCAACTTTTGCCTTGCACACATAAATGCTATATTCATCCCTACCTGCAGCTCTCCCTTTGCTCACCAGCACCAGCAACAAACCTGTCACCCAGGACAGCCCCAATCCCCTTTTTCCATTTCCCATCATAAGCAAAAGACTCAGTTTTCTAGACATCTTAAAGTGGCAGAGTGGCAGTAATACCAAATGGACTACTTGCCAAAAGATGAAATAACCAACAATCAAAGAAGAATAAGAATAAGAATACATAACAGATCAAAAGTTTTGGCATGACAACCTGAGGAAGTATGGAAACTATGAGTTATGTGAGAAAATTTGCAACTACATTCAAGAGGGGAAAAAACTAGGACCCGGATTTCATATTCCAAGTTGTCATACAAACAGCATAGTCATTATTTCTACAAAAGAGAAATGGTAACAAGACTTAAACAAGAAATTTTTGGCATAATTAAAATGCTGACATACTATGCACACAATTTACACATGACCTCTTCTAATATATCCTCCATCAACTATCCATTCTGGCCAATTCTCAATACATAAGGTTCAATTCACAATGAATTTCAGACCACCAAAGTCGCCACATGAAACTTAAGATAAGAACAGCATATAAAGATCGGCAAAAAGGACTTGAAGAACAAAGGAGAAATATGAATATAACAAAATTAACTAAAAAATTATGAGAGCTAACATGAATGAACTTCATAAAAACTTGCAAACATAACTCAAATGTTGGCTCAAACAAATTGAAGTCCAGTATCAATATTACAAAGTTTTGAATAAAATCGCTATTTCAATATCACATCAATACTATGGAGGTTTACAAAGTTGAAACAAAGGCCTGGAAATATTTGTAGTAAAAGCACATGTGCACATGTTTCAGGTTCTTTCTTCCAACTCTATTGCATTTGTAGCTTCAAGATGGCAGTTGCATCTCATAGTAAATGCAAGCAATGACACGATTCCACAAACCATCAATTCACTGAATATTAACAGGGCAATAAACCAAACAAGCATATGATGGTTTAAGGCAGTGTGTCAGAGATTTACATACTTTACTACATGCTTCACCTCATTCAGTGCACCAAAAGAATGTAAAGGCTATTAATTATTTCAGACATGTAGAAAATCAAAAAGATTCTGAAGTACATAATAACCATGATTCTAAAAACTGCAAGCATAAGGATAACAGTGATATAATCACCTCAAGTTCTCTTTCCAAGGAGAGCCTTCGCACAAGTGAAGAGTGCATTTGCAAAACACTATTTGAATCCTGTACATAAAAGTGCAAAGTAAGCGCACTAGCATCTCAGCGCAATAACTATGAAAGTGTAAATCAAATCTTCACTTTTGACTGGACACAAATTCAAAACATTTGCTGCGCATTGATAGAAATTTAAGACCATATTCTCATATCTCTTGCTGCACATATGCCTATCTCAAGTTGAGATGTTCACAATTTCATTATACCTTCTTTTCTCAGGATTTGAGAAGGCATTTGGAAAAGTCATGTCCCAGTTGTGACATCTCCAGAAAGAAGATAGAAAACTCAACACGGACAACACTTCATTCCAAGGAACAGGATCATCATTTGCTTATTTTTCTGTCATATATTCCTTAGCGGACACTTTTTGAAATTGACTATAAACCTACTCTAATGATTTAGAAGTTAATAAGGTAGCCTCTTGTTCCTAAACCTTCTCTAGCACGAGGTTTATAGTGTGAGCCCAAATTTTTTTCATCTTATAAATTCCTGATTTTAGCATATCTGCGAATTTTAAGTCAAGAATTACTTGTATTCTTATAAACGAACTCAAAAACCTTTCTCATTTATGTTCCTCCATTTCCAATTACAACAAATGATTTTCCCAAAAAACAGTTACAGATTGAAAACTTCAAGCAACTGAAAATATTACTAAATCAATCGCAATTCAGAACAGCAACCAAAGCCCCAATTCCTATGCACCAAAAAATAAAAACAATGGAATCCCATATCCCTACTATATCCAATTGAAATGATAATTAACGCAGAAAAGGAAAGTGGGAGTATTTTCATACATTATGAACGTTGAGAGCTCGATGATCAATCAAGTCAGTGACGTTGCCGTCGTGAAAACAAAGCGCTTCCATTTCAGAGAAGCTTCGAGGAATCGCCTGGAACTATTTTAGCGATGGAGTTGGGAGATTTTAGGTAGTGACGACGACGAATTTCTTTGTAATCATACACGGAAGCGTCACGAAGTTTATTGATTTATTTTCTTCTCTGGTTTGGTATTTTCCATATTGCATACTGAATTGACGTGTGTCTACGTGCGTGTACACCAGTGCCTCAGTCTGGAATCTGGATCCTTCAAACCCAGACTCAGTCTGGTCCATGTACTGGTTCTCTCGGCCTTAATTTAAAATTAAGGCCCTACCTGGCCTCTCGGCCCGATCTATTTTATTATTTTCTTTTCCTAGTGGAAATTACGCATCTAGTCTCTATCTCTACTATATAAAAAGGGCAGATTATAGGTACTGTAGATGCAATAGTATTCAATCCCATTCTACTGTTTGGATTGCCACGTCGTTTTATCCCATTCAATTTCCACGTCATTTTTTCTCCCCAGGTTGGTTATAAAAACGACGTCGTCTAAAATTTCTTGTAGAGGATACGACGTCGTATATATTAAATCGACATTTTCCCCTTCTTCTCCCAGTTGTATCATTCTTTCTCCTCATAAGGAAAGACTAGAGATTTAAACCAGATCTTCAAACCTTGATTTTCTTGTTTCTGTCTATTTTTGTTCGATTGCCCTCCGGTGAATTGCCTTTTTTTTTTTATAATTTATGTTCTTTTTTTTTTTTTCCAAAGAACCACAAAATTTCGAGAAGAGTTGGAGATTGGCGGCATGTAGTGGTAGTACGATCTCTGCTTCAGGCATCAATGAGGTTACACAAAAGCTATAAGAAAAAAAATAGGAAATTATAGAATTAACTGAGATTGCGAAAAATGAGGTGATAGAAACAATTTGAGCTTTGAAATGTTGAACTCTGATGAGGTGATGAGGGATTTTTAAAATTTTGAAGAATTTCATTCTTGAAGTTGTTATATTCATCATTTCTATGACTTGGGCTTACCATATGGATTAATTCCTTTCTTCGGGATCTCAGACATTGCTTTACATGCATTTTATTTTATTTTCTTATTGTTTTTGTGCCTAGTTGAAATGAAATGTAAAGAAAGCATTTTGCTTCTACAAATTTGTTTTCTTGTCTAGATATTTCATGGAAAGAGCTAAGAAAAAGCCATTCAACTTAGGTAGGAGCTATCCAGTGAATTTCCATTTGCAAAACAAGCTTGAGTCTGAGAGGGAAATGTCGTTGGCTCGAGCTCTATGCCTACAATGAAAGACAAGCTGGAAATTGGCTCCAAAGCAGAAGGGCAAGATGTAAAACTAAGCAACTGGATAAAGATTGTGAAATTTTTAAGAGACATTTTGAATCTGTAAAAGCAGAGCATGATGTTCTACAAAGTGAGAATTAGAAACTCTCAACTAGACCATATTAAAAGTTAAAATCTTATCTACTGTGCCCTTGGGTACTGTCGCTAGGATGAGTAATTGTATATATTCATTAACTGAACAACATGTTTGTAATTGAAAGTCTGGTCATAGTAAATGTAATTTGGAGTATCCAGTATCTTTAAAGTTCGTTTAGTTCTAAGAGTAATGTTGATTCACGTTGGAGTTTTGAATCACTAATTATGAAATTGTTGTGATTATCAAGTTATTTTCATTTTACTGATCCACAAATTTGGGAAGTTATATTTAAAGTTGCTTTTACTACTTTCTTAGAGGATTATAACCTTACCGGGCTTGAACTTAGGGTGTGTTTGAGCCACATTATTTTGAAAGAATGTATTCCGGAATAGTAAATTGATGGAGAATGTGTGGTTGAAAAATAATGAAAAGTTATTGATGTGATGGAAAATATTATTTTATTGAAAAATGTGTGGTTAAAAATGAGTAGAAGAATTTATGTTGATTAGTTGATTGTCGTTTTGATATTGATGTGTTCATTAAGTTATTAGACGTACTAAATATAAAAGATGGACTTAATTAAGATAGTATATATAAAAATTTAGGGTGCGTTTGAGCCACATTATTTTGGAAAAATGTATTTTGGAATAGTAGATTGATGGAGAATGTGTGGTTGAAAAATAATGAAAAGTTATTGATGTGATGGAAAATATTATTTTATTGAAAATGTGTGATTGAAAATGAGTAGAAAAATGAGAATGAAAATTTTAATGTATACCAAACATGGGTTTAAACTTAAACTTAACATTGGATTTTGTTTTTTTACTTCTACAAGCACCAAAGGATGTATCTCTCTTGCTTGTTCAAGGTGAACTTTCAGTGCTTAAAACAATTAATGACTTCGATTTTTATACCTCCACAACGTCAATCATGACGTACAAAGAGAAAGCCTAAATAATCTAGCCAAATTGTCCAAGTCTATGTGCTTAAACGTCTTCATAATATGTACTTTAAAATAATTCTTTTTTGGAGGATGTATACATAAAAAATATAAAAAAAAATAAGAAAATTAATTTATGAGAATGTGTGATTTAAAATAAAGAAAAGTCTTAAGTTATGATTATCCAAATCTTGACCAATGACATTTTCAGTTTCAAGTGACAAAAAAAAAAGAAAAAAAATGTGGCATGTTCTCCGTGCTGCACGGAGGCACGAAGAGAAAGTCTCTGCGTTCGTGTCTCCGCGTGCGTGGAGATGTTGGCCTCCGCATGCGCGGAGGCGTGCTCGCGCTCATGCGGTCACCAATTCCACGCACGTCTCAGCATTTATCTCTTCGCGTTCCATGGATTAGAGTATCCTTAATTTGTTTTGCATTTGTTAATTTTTTCCTAACAAACTGAGTAGTATTATTAGTTGTTTTATTCTTTCATTCGCTCAAACAAGAATTTTTTCTTCCATTAAATTAGAGGTCAAGAATTCGGTTTTGATAACATTGAGGATGAACAAATCAGTGTTCTTAACTCCGAGGAAAACCCAAGGTGAAAAAATGCAAGTTTGTTTTTTGACGGGAGGCAGTTTTTTGGAAAAATAACCTAATCTGCAAATCTGCAACATAATGATATTAAATCTTTAGTTAAGAGAAGTCAAATGGTTGTTTTAAGTATTTTTTGTATCTTTTTTATGGTTACAAATGTAAATAATCTACAGCGATATAGAATACTTCTTGTAAATTGCCATGTAAAACTTGTTTTATTATCAATAAAAATAGCCTTCTTATGTTTCATTTTCACATTGTTTACTCATCAATTCTTCATTAAAGATCTACTTCATTAAAAATACCTTATAACAAGCACATTTTTTTATATATTTAAAATTGAAAAGAAAAAGCCTTTACATTTCATTTGCTTACACTTTCACTTTTCAACAATTCCCAATTCATTTGCAAACATTTCACTCAACATTTCAAAGCTTAACCACCTGCACTACACACCAAATAAGTAATATCATATTTCTCTTCGCACCACACATGCGTAGATCTGCCCAAAGACATGTTCGTCACGCAGATCTACTCGAAAATCTTTGCGTTCAGGAGACTTGTGTTTCCATGCTGCGCGGAGAGATCTCCGCACAGCACGGTATCGTCTCTCCATGCTGTACGGAGACCGCGGAGACCTCAGTCTACACGCAGCGCGGAGACTCGTGTCTCCGCGTAGCGCAGAGAGACTCCTATCTCCGCGTCGCAGAGACCATATCTTTGAGCACGTGGAGATTCGATCTCTGCGTTCCTGGGTGGACTCTCCATCCATAGCCAAAAAATACACCGATTTCAAATTCAAATTCCATTTATTCATAAATAAATTTTACTGTTAATATATATTTTGCTTTTTTAATGATTTGTGCAGATGTCTTTGAAATATATAATATCTTCAAACCAATGGTTTCCTGCTACAATCACTTAATTTTCAGATTATCAATATTTTAAAGATTTTGTAGAGCTTATCAACGTAGATCAACAAACATCTTTAATGTGTAGTAGTTTTTATGGATTTATATATGGAGTGATTTATAGATCAGAAGAAGAAGAAGAACAATTCAGTAGCAAATTAGTTCATGAATTCATAATGAGACTTGTAAATTGTGGCAAAAACAATGAAGTTTGAGTTAAGTTAGATAATCATTTGGCCCGCTTTATATACAAGAGTTTTGTCTCATCATCGGATTACCTTGCCACAATGTATCTATCAATCTTGATTTAAACAATGATCGACTTGGAAATCAATACTTTAATGGTACGAAAAGAATTAGTATGAGAATGCTTTTTGAAGCATTCCACCTATGTGAACATCAAGAAAATAAATTTAAACTCTGACTGGTTATGTTGGTAGAATGTGTTTTAAAACCTACTGGAAGATACATTGATTATAGAACTTTGGGGCATGGTTGAGTATCTTAACGACTTTCTTGAGTATCCATGGGGCCGTAGAACATATTTTATTTTATTAAACTCTTGAATCACGGCTGAAGAGTACAGAGAATGCAACAAAATGAGCAAAACGAATGTAAATATTCATTACATGGATATCCACTTACATTCCAAGTATTTTTCTTCCATTCTTTTATTTTTCACCAATCTATATATCTCGTATAAATATTACATATCTCATATTTATTTTCAATTATATTTCGGTATTGGATATACGAAGATTTTTCGCAAATTGGACAAAAATTTGGAAACCGTAGATATAAAGTATTGCAGAGTCCAAGAATGCACAGATGGAAGCCAAACAAAATATTAACGGAGAAAATAGTTAGGCAATTTTTGGATGTCAACGATGTGATTTAATTATATTTCTTTATTATATTACATTATGCATTTAATTATTTTTTTTTTATCCTTTTTGAAACAAAAATAAAATAAAATCATTTAAATATTTCGTTACAATTACAGGTCCAAGTGCAATCAGTGTAGCTTATAGAGGAAGAATCGCAAACACTGCGGTATATAACTCTTTCATTGCTACATGATAATCAACATAATATACTAGATGACATTGTGAACGAAGAATTCAACAATGTACCACAACAAATCCCAAATCACACGACAACATG